GAGAGAGAGGGAGAGAGAGCGAGAGAGAGAGACAGACAGACAGACAGACAGACGGCACCGTCGTCCTGGCTATGATGCAGATCTTCACGTCTAATCAATCCTTAACAGGCAGCTACCATCAATACCATCGGTTAACATACAAAATTCAAAGCGAATTAAGAATTAAGTAAGAGTAAAATAGGGTCCTGTTGTCGGGTGTCGCGCAGGTCGGGTCGGTCGGGTGTCCGTTTCGGGGACAGACGAAGGACAGAAGCGGGGGATGCAGCCAGGCGAGATGAAGGGGGGAGGGGGTGAGAGAGGGAGGGGTTGGGGGCGCCGATGGGCCGATGTGACGGGGGCTTCGCGTTGCCGTGACGGGGGCGCGGCGCGGAGGGGCGCGGAGGGCGGGAGCAGGGGGACCGCTGATTGCGACACGGCCTCCGGCTGCCTACCACCCCGCCCCGCCACACCACCGCGCTCGGACCCCGTCGGGGCGGGGTGGCCTGAGGTGGGGCGGGGTGTGGTGGGGCCGCCACAGCCGCAGCCCAGGCCAGCCCCGGCGGGGCGGGTCGGGGCCGCGCCGGCCGGGCCCGCTGGTGCTGGGCTCACCCGGCTCCGCCCGGCCCGGCTCACCCGATGGATCGATACCCAGCGGTCCAGACGGGAAGGCAGTACAGGGAGGCCGTGATGCTCCACGCTGCGCCACGCCGCCGCTCCAGCCGCCGCGGCACAGCGCCACGCAGCGCGTAGCGTCAGGCGGGCTGGGGCAGGGCAGGGTGGCAGGCAGGGAAGCGGGGGCGGCGCGGGGGCGGCGCGGGGGCGGAGAGGAGCGCTGCGGGTGGGGGCGGCGCGAAGGCGTGTGCTGCACGGACCGTTCATTATTTAGTCGGGGGAGCAGCGGCCGGGGGAGGGGCAGGCGGGGGGAGAGCAGGGGAAATAGCGCGTTGGCGTGGCTCGCTCCCTCTTGCTTCTCTCTCTCTCTGTCTCTCCCACCCTCTCTCTCTATCTCTCTCTCCCTCTCCCTCTTCTCGCTTGCTCGCTCGCTCACTCGCTCTTTCTTTGCTCTCTCGCTCTCATTCCCGCTGTCCGCCTCTCCCTCTCGCCACGCTCCGCTGTGCCTCTGGGGCCCAGCTGCAGCCCCTTTCTCGCCCTGCCCCCCTCCCCCTCTCCCCGCTCGCGCAAATCGCTCCCAGCACCCCCTCCCCTCCTCCACCACCCCTACCCCGTGCCGCCCCCTCCAGCCGCGCCGAGCGGGCGCTCCGCCTGCCGACCCCGCCAGACTAGACCGAGGCGCCTCTGCCGCTACGCGCCGCCCCGCCCGCCGCTGACCGACCTCGCTAAAACACAGCTAAAAGAAGCGCGGGGCCTTCAGGTTCTCTCAGGGGCCGACCGACACCATGCCGACATCCAGGACCTCTGTGACGGTGGCTGACCAGGCTGACCCGAGGGCTGACCTGTTCGGCCTGCTTCCTCTTCTCCCGGCCCGATGTCGCCTTCCCACAGTAATTGGCTGCGCGCAGTTTTCCTCTTTCGTCCGGGCGGCAGGGTAGGGCTGCTATTGGAGCGAGGGGGTGAAAAGGGGGGGGGGGGCTCTTAACATTCCTCGCCCAGCGACGACACCACCACTCCCGCTGTGACCGCGATGGCCAAACATTTTCACGGACCTGAATATTCATGAAGGGCTGTCTAGTTGAGTCAGTCCCCGCCCCGCCCCGCCCCGCCACGCCCCGCCAGATCCCCGTGCCGACCGCTGCGGGTGGCGCCGCGCTGAGCCGCTCGCAGCCCCCGCCTCACCCCCCAGCCTCGGCGCACACACCTCCATCTCCTACTCCACCCCCTCCCCCCACCTGGACCCCGCGGGCAACCTGCGTCCCCTGGGCCTTCCGAAGGGCAGCCCCACCCCCGTCCCCGCGCCCCTCTGTCGGCTCGGCCCTTAGCACACCCTGCGACCACCCAGGCGGCACGCGCGCCCGGCGCGCCCTTCACGGGGGGGGGGGGGGGGGGGAGTGGCGGGCAGTGGAGGGAGGACCACGGGGAGGCGAGCAGCGCCTGGGGCGCCACGGGGCACAGCAACGGACCGACCAAAAAAAACACGGCAACTGGGTATAAGTATGATGAGCCGGCTTGTCTCGTGGTCTGTGCACTCCGGGACTCCTTCGCCGTACCTCGAGAGGATGAAACCGCGTCCACGAAAAGTATGGAGGGAAAAGTCTGCCCACTGTGGAATGGGCAGACACTATCAAAATAAGGTATTCCGCAGAACGGGTAAAGAAGAACAGCACGAATAACAAGGTGGCCCGTGATTCGTCGCCCGGTCTCCCCCTCCACTTGAGCGACGAATCACAGGCCCCTTTGTTATTCGTGCTGTTCTTCTTTTCCAGTTCCCCGGAATACCTTATAAGATTCTTGCCCTGAAAAGAGTTTTGGAGCCTTTTGGAATATTGTCAACGAAATAGCCTATACAGGGCTAAGAATATCAAGATTCAACAAATCAAAATAAAGCTGTACCAGACAGTAAATCAGAACAATCAAAAGGTTACATAAAGTAACACAAAACACCAGTCATCTTACGTTAAAATATATTTATGCCGCCGGAGGTCCAACATCACAGATAAACAATAGCACATTGCCAGAGCTAAACAATAAGACCCTGGAATAAAAGGACACAGGTATTAAACCAGTGGCAGGACATTTCATCATGGATCATTTTCTAAAGGAGGCTAACTCACCGATGGCATATTAGGAGGATTGTTAATTCCATACAGAAACCGCATCGGGTCTATAATCATCATAACCTGGATGACACATGTGAGGTGCGAGGTTAGAAAATGTGCCCCACATAAGAACAGCAAAATATCCAGAATTACCACTGGAACTCACCGGAATTCATTATCAAATCTCACTTGTACAGCTTATAAAAGCAGAAGCTCAACAAATAAATGGCCCAGCCATTATAATCTTCCAGATGATTTAAGTTAAAATTACCGGACCTGCCGGCTTGCTAAACTCAGGGCGACTGACTCACTACCGGAAATGGCGGATGTGCCGGATGTAGTCCGCTCTGGACTTGTCAGCCAGAAACAAAGTAGTCCCTGGCCCGAGTGTGAGTGGCGGGAAGAGGCGCGCCAAAGGAGGGAGGGAACATTTAAATAGTAACGAGAGGAAACTGAGCGTTACAACGTCCCCCCTGACGAGGCTGCAAAGCCCCTCAGGTTTTCGTACAGCTCAAGTAAGTAGCTAGCTACAGCGCCGACAGCGGTCCGGGAGCGCAGAGAGCACACCGGTGGCGTGGCGGCGGCTGGCGAACAGGAGGCAGCCTGCCCTGCCCACTGCCCAAACGCACAAACAAACACAGTGACACACGCCGGTCGCCCACTCTCTGTAGATAGCAAAGGGGGGGAGTGGAGGGGGTAACTTTGTCCTCTGGTAGAGACAGTCTCTAGGGGACTGTCTAAAAATAGTGGTTACCAAAAGTTTGGTCTCTATTCATCACTCCACCTGCATCATCAGTCAGTGTGAAAAACGAACCCTGCTCGACTCGGCTGAAAGGAAGAGAGGGTAGCTCCGCCTCCTAGGCCTGCCAATAGAGATTGCAACGGCGTGGCACGGCGTTGCCGGGAGGGCGCGGCGTTCGACGTGGCGGGGCGCGGCGGGGCGTGGCGGGGCGTGGCGGGGTGCGGCGCTCCGCCGCGGGGCACGGGAAAGGGGTGTCACAGGGGGCATGGCGGCGCGGGGGCACGGTGCGCGCTCTCGCATCCCTCGGGGCTGGCATGCGCGGCGAGGCGCGGGGGCGGCAGGGGGAGGTGGAGGGGGGGGGGGGGGGGGGAGGGAGGGGCGTGGGAGAGCGAGCCGGGGGCGTGCGTGTGTTTTGCAGGGGAGCGCAGCGGTGGGGAGGTGTGAAGGGGGATCGAGCTGAGTGCTCGCTGCTGGCTGCGGCGGGTGGCCTACCCTCACAGAGGCTGGGGGAAAGGGGGGGGCGGGGGCGGCGAATAACGACGGGAAATAATAGAAAGAGACAGAGGCGCGCATTGCGCGCATTGTTTTCCGGCTCACGGACTCCTCTCCTCCGCAGGCGCGCTGCCTCCGCGCGCACTCGGCCGCGACGGGGCCCGCCGTGGAGGTAGGCAACTGGGCGACAGCAGTGCGCGCCGACTCGGGGGCTTGCCTACCGTCCAGGCGCCCTGCTCCCACTGCGCTCTGCGCTCGCTCCCTTGCGGTTGTCGGAGGCGGACGACGGCGGTGGAGGGGAAGAGAGAGGAAAGGAGAGAGAGGGAGAGAGAGAGAAAGGTGGGTTGAGGGGCAGGGAAGGGTGCACCCGATACTACGCTTTTACGCCCTCGCAGGAGATGAAGAAAAACAGCGGCTGGTCCGCCACCCCCACCACCCCGCTCCTCATTTTATCGCAGCCCCCCCCCCCCCCCGGCCGCACGTCAGAGGCCCTCTCATCGCCATCATACCAAAGTGCGCTGCCGGGCCATTTGTCTTGGTGGCGGAGGCATGGAGCTTGGCTGGACCGTGGAGGCTGGGCCCGGCGGTCACCTTCGGGAAAACGTTTACTAACTAACGCAGTGGGGAGACACCCAGCAGAGATGTTGACGCCATATTCAGGAGTAGACAGTTTCATGCCAAAAGCTCCAAGGTGAATGTTGTGTTTTTTTTTTCATGTGGCGGAGGAGACACACGTCAGATGTCAGATTCACCCCTCTTCGGACCGCATGTCTTGTCCTCCTCTAGGTCGTCCGACGGGCGAGGCTGACGCGGCGGGCCGGGGTCAGGCCTCGGATTGGATTTGAGTGGTTTTGTGGCGGCGTGTCTCTGACGGGCTCGCGTGGTCGGGCCAGGTCGGCTGGAGGGAGAGGGGGAGAGGGAGGGTGGGAGTCCTCTACATTCCTGAACATTGTGCCGCAGGGTGCGGCGAGGGGCGCGGGGCGGGGGGTCGTTAGGGTGGCCGCCCCCCGCCGCGCCAAGGACATGGAGAGGGGGCTGGTGGCGGCCGTGGTGGCGCGCGGGGAGGCTGAACGGCGTGGGAAGCTCTGGAATTTAGTTAGAGGGCGGTGCGGAAAAGCCCTTTGGCCACCCCAATGAAAAAGGGGAAGGGGGAGCGAGGGTAGAAATGTGCGGGGCTGGGGGGTGATGATGCCCGACGCATTCCAAACAGCCTGCGCTATAACACCTCGCACTCGCACGGCCGGAGGTATGCTAGGCGGGGAGGCTGGGAGGCGTCGTCGTATACGCGCGAGATCGAGGTATTTCTTTTTTTCGACCCGTTCAAAATGCTCTGCCGCCGTTGCCAAACTCAACACTTATAGGAAGTATGGAAATTCGCCTCGGCCATCACTATGCTGCTATACCCTTCGGTTCAATTTGTGGTGCCTTCGGTGCAAGGATGGTCGATAAAGGACGTCCGTTTTTCTCCGATTCATTTCGGCAAGTTTCGGGGGCTTGACGCCTGCGACTGCGAGGGTAGGCCAACCCGCAGTACCAGTATGCACTGCAGGTAGGACATTGCCTGCCTACCAGGTGCTCCAAAAGCTTGAGAGGCTGAGCTTTTCTTGCTCGTAACGGCGATTGACCGACCAGGATGGTCGTACTCTCTAGTTTATCCCATAGTTGCGCGTGTCGCAAAGTGGCCGTCGGCCGAGCCGTCGGCCGTGCCAGCTTGACGTCAGCGTCGAGTTTCTTCTCTCCGTCGACCGCGTCGGCTCGCCCAGCAGAGCGGTCGCGAGCGGGCCCTGAACCCTCTCCCCCGCTCCCCCGGGGGGTGTTTTTAGCTGGCCGTCCTTGTCGGCCCGCCCCGGCCCGCCAGGTGGTGCCCCTCCTCTCTTTGCCCGGAGGCGTTAGCCTTGGCGCCGGCTCCGTAGCACTCTGTAGCCGGAGGCATCGTCGAAGTGACCTTTATCTCCCCCGCCCCGCCCCGCCCCGCCCCGCCCCGCCTTGCCCCCGCTCCTTTGGGCCTCTCTCACCAGAGCGGCGCGGCGGCGCCTCATCGGCCCAGCTGAGTGGCCACGGGGAGTACTACAATGGCAAACGGCTCGAATGACGGTGACGGTGCTTTTCGCCGGGCCTTCTCGCAGCTCCTCCCCTTTCCAAAGCGACTCGGCGGCGTTTCATTCGGGCACTTCTCCCCGACGCCCCTAGTAATGAGTGCGCCATTTCAGGGAACAGGATTACGAACTGAAAAATAGACAGCTTTCACATGCGAAAAAGGCGCAAAATTTGAGTCCGAAAAGACGGTCGAAAAGTGAGTACTTTTGACCAAATTTAGTCATCCTAGAGAGGTGAGACAACCCAATAAGCCTAGTTCCAGCTGAAGATACATGTTTGAAGTTCAAATAAGTATTTTTTTAAAATAACAGTTCCGGACGAAATCGTGTTCGCTGTTGGGACATGTGGCTGTCCCAGTTCAAGGACATGATGGGCATCATCCTGGATCGCAACAAAACCCGCACAGCACCGAAATGTTTAATGAGATACCAAACCCGCTGCAATGATTTTTTGACAATATTTTTGGCGAATTTTCCACGAAAACTTTGCATTGTTACCGGTCTTCCTCCTTTAAAGGTAAATCGAATAAACATGGGCTTCTTCCCAAATAACCTCGGCTCCCAAAGCGCCGACCGCTCGCTCGATCGCTTGCTCGCCTCTTCACCTGACTTCCCTTATCCGATTGGGCCCTCATAGCAATTTCACTCGTTCGAGCCAATTGTTGAGGAACCATCGGATGTCACTCTGTCCGTCACTAAACGAGTTGTATCGACCTCAGGAATTTCAAAAGGCATTCATCACACTGGACTCGAATCGAACGCCGGAAGGTGGTGCTGTGGCTCTAGTACGACCAGAGACTCGGACCTGCCACCATGGAGGCCCTCCTGGTCGTGTTTCTCCTCTGCTGTGTGCCTCCCGGGGTGCGGGCCAGCCTGCCCGTCGTGGAGTCTGTCGCGGCCCCCGAAGCCAGGAGCGCCGCGGCGTTGCTCACGTCGTTCATGAAGCCTCAGAGAGCTACCCTCGCCGTACTGGGCGATTCGCGTTGGAGCGGCACATTCATCCGGGAACTGTCCACAGACATCCCGCGGGTGCTGATCCCGATGCTGAACCTCAGCCTCAGCCTTGCATCGGAACAGGAGGAAAAGTACTCGAACACGCAGTTCGACCGCCTGTATCACGCACTGATGGTCACGCACTGGGCACTCTTTGTCCCCACGGATGGCCTGGAGCAGCTGCTCTTCGCAATCAGGAACCTCGCCCAACACAAGGGAAGCATGGTCGCCCGGATCCTCTTCTGGACTACGGAGTCTATGTTCGCCAACCGAGACAAGGTGCTGCGGCGCTTCTCCGAGACGAAACTGTGGCTAGGCGGCTGCCAATACGCTCTGGCTCTCACCTCCACTAACGGCAGCACCACCCTCTACCATCTGACCTGCACCTCTGATGACGCCTGCAGAAGCAGACAGATGACAATCTTGGAGACGGACGAGTGGTCACCCGTTGATCAGCGCTGGCGTCTGGGGGCCGATGTCTTTCACCAGTTTTGCAATGGTTATCGTCCGATCGGCAAGCACCAGGACCTAACCATGTTTGTACAGACAATAAAGGGATCGACGAATAAATCATCGCTGTTGGAGCTGACGAAGGTTGTCGTTGACTCAGTGAGTCGAGGCCGTCATCGACGGCTAGGTTCGAACACACCGGTAAAGTATCAGGAAACATGGCGTTACCGTGGAGTTCATGTCGCAATGATGGAGTGCAATTTGGCCGCAGTCCTCACAGACGAGTCTTTCTTTGGTCTGAGAGGTTTAAAGGAGATGGGTTACATACCCGACAGGCAGATGGCCGTTGCTGCTGTCATCGTGCCCGCGGGCTACGGCAGTAGAGTCAGCATCGTGGAGTCGGTCACGGTGGAGTTCTCGTCAGCGCTGTGGTTAGCCACGGGACTGGCCACCCTGTGCACGGTGGTGGTCTTGAAGTGCACCCGCCGGCAGGACGTCAGTGGCGCGGTGTTGCAGGCGCTTGCCCCAATGCTGGGGCAGGCGACGCCGCCGCCCGCCCCACCCCGGCCGCAGCTCGCCGCCTGGCTGCTCGCATGTGTCGTGCTGACTGCCGCCTACCAGGGCCTGCTGCTGGGCAGGCTTTCCTCGGCTGTCCCCCGACATGAACTGGAGAGTCTGCGTGACCTCGAGGACAGCGGGCTGCCCGTGAAGATGTCGGCATACCTAGCATACAGCCATCTACTGACGGACAAACTGACCGCGCGGACAGAGTATGTGCTGTTCCCACAGATCAAGACGATCATCGACACGATCGCCAACGCTCGCAACTGCGCCCTCGTTACCTTCTTCAACCGACACACGAACGGCTACATGCGGCCCTACATGACGCCGCCCAATCCGAAGCTCCACGCCATGAAGCTGAGCTACTCCCACTTGAACATCATCGCGTTGACCACCAAGGGGTCGCCGCTGGAGCGCCCCATCGCCAGGGTGCAGGCGCGCGCCGAGGCGGCGGGGCTGCTGGCGCGCTGGCGCCGCGCGGAGTACGAGCGCGAGGACCGGGACGACGCCAAGAGGCTAGTGTCGCTGCAGGGGCCGCGGCCACTGACGTTGGCGCAACTGAAACCGGCCTTCGTCGTGCTGGGCGTGGCGCACGCCGTGGCCGTGGTTGTCTTTGCCCTCGAGGCGCTGTGCGCCTGGCGCGCATGCTGCACCGCAAGGAAAATGGTGCGTGGTGGCTGCATCGGGAGAGACATCGCCCAGAAAGTACGTCCTATTTTTACAGATTAATTCGGCACATTTCGTTAGCTCGGCGCCTGCGAGACTCGGGTTAGGCCATCCCGCAGTGCACTCATGCACTGCAGACACGATGTTGCCTACCTAGCAGGCGCTATGAGGGTGGGCTTCTCGGGAACCATAAGTGAGAAAACGAGCGTACGAACGGCCGCTGTGACCGAACGGGCCCCCCAATTATTAGCGCGTTCGCTTGTTCGTTTACCTTTTCACCGAGTTGACGTTCACTTCGCCGGTCTGGAGAAGCCCCCCTGCATAGGCAGAACTTGTCAGGTTCGTAAAGGCGAATGATGGACTGACTGACTTTCTGGGTGATCCCTTATTTGCAACAGTTGGAGGCTTGTGTTCCCCTGGCCCGTTCTTCATAATCTTCTTTACATCAATGAGGCACTTGCCTAGTCAGAAGAAAGGAGACTCTCGCGAAAGACATCGAGGACACTCGCGAGGGGCAGCGTTCTAGCGCATGAAAAGCATTCAAAGAATTTATAAGGGTTTGGATTTTATCCATTCCCTGATCGGAGACATACACTCAACTGGTGCAGCACGGAGTATAGACAGTTGCGGAGTGAGGGGTAGCTTCGGAGCCGCGCTAGACTGCCGCACCCGCCACCAGAGCGCGTCACCGTCGTCGGGCTACTAGGTTGGCAGAACTGGAACTGGAAAAGAAACAGAAAACTGTGAAAGACAAAGATGGCGGTCTGTAGCTCTTGTTCTTGAAGTTTATTTTTAATTTGCATATTAACAACAAACAGGTCAGTGATTTCAACATATATGGTATTTTCCGTAAATTATCCAGCATTGTTTTCATGTTCGTTTCTTTGTCAGACCTCAACACTCCTTCGTTTACTTACATTGCTACTGTTTGGAGTCTCTGTTAACCCCACTTTTCTTCCTAGGTCTTGTCATAACAAATGCCACATCTTACATTTTAGGACACTCTAAGTTTTAGTTTTTAAGAAAAAATGGCTAATGGACGTAGATATTCCTGGTTCTTGTTGGGAATTTTATTTGCGTCTGCGACATGGATGGTGAGCCTCTATCTGTATACCCATCTCAGTCAATCAGATCGTACTAATTTTCTTAGTACTGTTTCTCCAGCAAGTAAGTTTTCTTCTAATGACTGTTATCAATAAAACTAAGGGGAATATGTCCTTAACTTTACTCCATCATTGTGTTTTCTCAGGCCTCAACCTGCGAAAGGTTTTTGTAAATGATTCGGATCAGGTACTATGGAGTCCTATTAACATCAAAAAACATAAATCACCTGATTCAAATAAAGACCTTTTGCCTCAAATCCCATATGAAAACAAATGGTCTCCAAAAAATGCCCTTCAGAACAGAGCAAATAAATATGGATTTAAGAACAGTGAAGCTCTGATCAGAAAACTTAAACCTGTTTTGCCAAAGGGGAAAACTGCAGGTATATCTTTAAGAATACTGGAGTCAGGCCTTTTTTTAAAAAATTATATAATTGTGCTAATTCACATCTCATCTTTTAGGTAATAGTGTGTTGGATGAGCTAGGAATGGTAAAAAGTGAGGATGACCTCAAGTTGCGGGATCAAGGATATAAGCAGTTTGCATTTAATGTGCTAGTGAGCAAGAACTTAGATTTACACCGTAAGGTGCCTGATACACGTCATAAGTTGTAAGTATCAAAATCCCTCCCCTAACCTTATATTTTGGTATTTTTACTGTAATTTTCTTACTTGGCTGTAGGTGTCGCGATGTGAAGTTCAAAGAAAACTTACCCTCAGCTAGTGTTGTTGTCTGTTTTTATAATGAACACTATGAGACCCTGCTAAGAACTGTCCACAGCATTCTGGATCGCTCACCACCACAATATCTCCATGAAATATTATTAATTGATGATAATAGTGATCTAGGTAATTCTTTTGAAGGGTATTTTTATCTTTTTGTCAAATTTACACCCGCAAATTTTTTACTTGTTTCTTTCATACACAGAAGGGGTACATGAAACACTGCGGGAATATGTTCTTCACAAGTTCCCAGAAAAAGTAGTACTCTTGAAAACCCCACAACGGGAAGGTATTATGCGGGCAAGAATGTTTGGTGCCAAAGAAGCTTCTGGAGAGGTGAGTTTTATTTAAGAAAAGTAAATTTATACTTGCATTTGGGCCTGACACTTTCATGTTTACAGGTTCTGGTGTTTTTGGACAGTCACATAGAAGTGAATGAAGGCTGGTTAGAGCCTATGTTGTCAAGATTGGTAGAAGCTGGGGGTCCAAATAACACTGCTGTTGTTATGCCAGTCATTGACATTATAAATGCAGATACTTTTGAGTACAATGCCTCCCCATTGGTGAGGGGTGGCTTCAATTGGGGATTGCATTTTAAGTGGGAAAACCTTCCAACAGGCACTCTTACTAGCGAACAAGATTTTGTGAAACCCATCAGGTAGGGAGGCAGACTAACTCAACCTATGAATTTATATTTAGATGTTGTAACCTTATTTGTGAGTCCAACCTTTCGTGTTCTAAGGTCTCCAACCATGGCAGGTGGTCTGTTTGCAATGAACAGGAAGTACTTCTTTGACCTTGGAGCCTATGATTCTGGGATGAACATCTGGGGCGGAGAAAATCTTGAAATATCATTCAGAGTATGTATCAAT